TGAAAGGTGAAAAAGGACTGGATGGGGAAGATGATGAAGGTGAAGAGGGAAGGAGAAAGGGGGAAGAGAGGAGAGTAGGGGAGGGGAGAGGGAGAGAGAGGAGTGAAGAGGAGGGAAATAGGGAGGAGGGGAAGAGGAAGGAGGAAAGTTATTTACAAATTAAAGATACAAGTACCTTTCTCCCCATTAAGAACACTTTAACACAGACAGACAGACAGACACAGATTTGACGGACGGACAGGATAGACAGGCAGACAGACAGACAGACAGACAGACAGACAAGGATTGACAGACAGACAGACAGACAGACAGACAGACAGACAGACAGACAGACAAGGACGGAAGACAAGTACACTAGACTTCATAAATCACATTACATGGATTCAAAACAGCGATTACACCCGGATTTATCATCTATATTAAGTTTAACCGTATTTAAATCTTCTCATGGGATTTTTCTCATTTACTCGGCTGTCAAAATTGACTTAAAATGACCCATTTATATCGGTATATATTTAAGCTATTAAGTTAATGTAAACACACACACACACACACACACACAAAATACACACACGCCTATCAACTCTGCAAAACATACACAAAACTTCCTTCACTTTTACTTTCATGGAATTTTTGTAAAAATATCCGACACGACTTTTTTAAGGGCGGAGGGAGGAGGGGAGGAGGGGGGAGGAGGGGGTAGGCGGAGGAGGGGGGCGGAGGTGGGAGGGGAAGGGGAAATGTTTTTCCTTCCGACCAATGCATAAATTATACAGTAAAAACCGAATCACTTCTATAGCACACAAACCCCAAATACTAGGGATATCTCATGGTGGAGTTGTCTGTCTGTCTGTCTCTCTGCCTGTCTGTGTGCTGTGCTCGTCTGTCTTTTTGTCTCTCCTTGTCTGTATACTTGTCTGTCTGTTTGGGAAAGAAAATCAGACCGTGGGAAATAAAATCAGACCGTGGGAAAGAAAATCAGACCGTGGGAAAGAAAATCAGACCGTGGGAAGAAAAATCAGACCGTGGGAAAGAAAATCAAACTGTGGGAAAGAAAATCAGACCGTGGGAAGAAAAATCAGACCGTGGGAAAGAAAATCAGACTGTGGGAAAGAAAATCAGACCGTGGGAAAGAAAATCAGACCGTGGGAAGAAAAATCAGACCGTGGGAAAAAATATTAAAACCGCGGAAAAAAAAGATATGAACACGTACATCATTAATTCACTCAGACCGTGGGAAGAAAAATCAGACCGTGGGAAAAAATATTAAAACCGCGGAAAAAAAAGATATGAACACGTACATCATTAATTCACTCTGAGGGTAAAAAAATTGCCTGACGGATATTCTGATATACCTGATGGTTTTATTACGCCATTCACCTGTGCCACTTCATTAATCTATCAATGGCACTTGGCACTCCACTCCTCCTTCCCACTCAGTGCCACGGGTCGCCTCTACTGTGTGCGAGCAGCAAGTGACATTGCGTTTTTGTTAATAAGTCTATGAATATTATTATTATTATTATTATTATTATTATTATTACTACTACTACTACTACTGCTACTACTACTACTACTACCACCATTACTACTGCCACTATTAGCATGATATAATTATAATCATTATCTATCTGTCAATCTTCGCTCCACCCCCCTTTCTCTCTATCTCTCCCTCTCCTTCTCTTGCTCTCTCCCTCTCTCTCCCCCTCTCCCTCTCCCCCTCTCCTCCTCTCTCCCTCACAACTACCACCGCCCACCAACACAACACAATATATTGCCCACCAAAACACATTTCCTTTTTACCTGTTTTAAACGTGTGTGTTTCTCTCTGCTTTAGGACCTGGTGACTCCTAGTACAAGATGGGGACCTGACTGTGTTTATTTACTTATTTTGTTGTTGTTGTTATTATTATTATTATTATTATTATTATTATTATTATTATTATTACTAGTATTATTATTGTTATTAATATTATTATTATTACATTCACTTACTATCATTACTCGAATCATTAATACCATCATTAACCCTAATCACCATCATCACCATCATTACCATCATTAACCATAATTATCACCATCAAATACAAAATACACAATAACATAATCCCATCAAGTAATGACGTCATCTGTTTACAAGTGACATCATTACCTGTGATGAAGGAACAGGTGACATAATTACCGCCACTCTTCACACCTGTGTTTTAAATGACAACCTAATTAGCCCCATTGTCTTTCTATCACTTGGTAAGAGTAATTTATTGGGTTAGATAGATAGATAGATAGATAGAAGATAGATAGATAGATAGATAGATAGATAGATAGATAGATAGATAGATAGATAGATAGATAGATAGAGAGGACAGACAGTCGAACCAATTTAAAGCAAGATGATAGATTGACACAGTCGTTTATAACCCTGGCATCCCATTCCATTTCTACCATCCCATTTTTAGCTCCTCTCCCTCATTCTATTCCATCCCATTGTCTCCCACCAGTGCCTCAATTACCGCCATGCCCATCCCATTCCCTCCCATCTATTCCTCTACCTCTTGCCCTCTTTCCTATTCCATACATCCACTCACACCTAACCACCTCCCATCCCCTTCTCCTCCTTTCCATCCATTCATCATATTCCAACCCTTCTCATACTATCCCTTTCCACCCCAACACCCACATTCCATCCATCCCATTCAAATAATCCCTCCCTTCCCATCAGTCCATCTCACCCCATCCTAAAATTCCCTCTCGTCCCCTTCCCATCAATGCCCATTCCATCAACCCCCATTCCATCCATCCATTCCATCCCATTCTAAAAAGAGCTGAGCCAGACTTGTCCACCCATAAAAAAAAAAAATTTAACCCGTTTTCAGTTTTAGTTTTCAAGGACTCACTGTGTTATTTTTTCTCCCTCCTTGACCTCTGACCTTTCACCTGTTACCTGACCAGTGTTCATGACGCTTCGCTACCTGAGGTCCACTCCCTACACTCTCCTGATTAATTAGATCCCTTGTGTACCTGGTGGGTGGGTCGGTGTAAGTGGGTGTATGTGGGTGTAGAATGGATCAGGGTAGGTTTCAGTGGGTGTAGAGTGGATGAGGGTGGGAAGGTGTATGGAGGTATAGGTGGGTGTGAGTGGGTGTAGGTGGGTGTGGGGAAGGTGTATGCAGCTGTAGGTATAGGTGGGTGTAAGTGGATGTAGGTGGGTGTGGGGATGTGTCTGTAGCTGTAGGTAAAGGTGGGTGTTTGTGGATGATGGTTGTGGTTGTAGGTGGGTGTTTGTGGATGATGGTTGTGGTTGTAGGTGGGTGTTTGTGGATGATGGTTGTGGTTGTAGGTGGGTGTTTGTGGATGATGGTTGTGGTTGTAGGTGGGTGTCAGTGGATGATGGTTGTAGTTGTAGGTGGGTGTCAGTGGATGATGGTTGTGGTTGTAGGTGGGTGTTTGTGGATGATGGTTGTCGTTGTTGGTGGGTGTCAGTGGATGATGGTTGTGGTTGTAGGTGGGTGTCAGTGGATGATGGTTGTGGTTGTTGGTGGGTGTCAATGGATGATGGTTGTGGTTGTAGGTGGGTGTCATTGGATGATGGTTAAAGCTGGATGGTGGTAGATGGATGTAAATAAGGTGGATGATCTAAAATGGTGGCAAGTGACTAAATGGGTGATACAGGATGGTAGTGGATGGGTGGATGATGGTTGTAAGTGTAATTATATAGACAGTATCAGTGTGTAGGTGGATGACGTTTAGGCTTATGCTTGTCTAATCGGCTGGATGATGACTATCTATCATTCAAATATAAATGATCTCTCAACTAAATAAAATGCATTTATCCATTTCCCGTTGTAACGCTGTCATTTTCACACACGCACGCTCTCTCTCTCTCTCTCTCTCTCTCTCTCTCTCTCTCTCTCTCCCTCTCATATAAAACACACATAGCCACTCCTCACTCTCTCTCTCATATAAAACACACATAGCCACTCCTCACTCTCTCTCTCATATAAAACACCCATCGTCACTCCTCACCGTCATATAATATACCAACTATATTATAACCTCTCCTGCGGGTTATTTAATCTCTCTTAATCTAATTCATTACGAAGCTTTCCTAAAAATATTAATCCATTAATCCTATATCCTTTACCATGGCCGAGCCATATATTTAATTACAAGTAATTAGTGGTAAATTAACTATCTAATTTTATATTTTGTTCGGGTAATTAGTTTTTTTGGGATGTGTACTCTTAAAATCACCTTTAAATCATCCTGGACTCTTAAAATCACCTTTAAATTAGTCTAAACTCTTAAAATCACCTTAAAATTAGTCTGTACTCTTAAAATCACCTTTAAATTAGTCTATACTCTTAAAATCACCTTTAAATTAGTCTGTACTCTTCAAATTACCGTCAAAACAACATATTTATTTATTTAAAGTAACTTGGGATCACCTGAAGATTAGACACCCCAGCTTATTTCATTTGAAGATTAACCACGTTGGCGCTACCCGGGAGTTAGGTTAAGTTAAGCCAAGCTAAGTTAGGTCAGGTTAGGTTAAGTTAACGTTTAGCTAGATTAGAGCAGGTTTTGTTAGCTTAACGTTAGGTTAGGTTAAGGCAGGTTAAAGTAAGTTAAAGTTAGATTACGTTAGGCTAGGTTCTGCTAGGTTAAGTTAAGCCAAGCAAAGTTAGGCTAAGTTAGCGTTAAACTAGGTTAGGGCAGCATAAGTTAATTAAGCTAGATTAATTTGCTAAGATAATGTAGGTTAGACTAAGTTAAAGTTGGATTAGGTTAGGTTAGGCTAGTCTAGCATTAGGGTGGTTAAACATAAGGTGAAATAAACTGGGAGGCTAATTTTGAGGTGATCCATAACTCGCACTACAGGAAGGTAGTACTCACGGGTGGCCTTCTGCAGGATGCCTATGGCCTGCTGGTGGGAGATGAAAGAGTCCAACACCTGACCGTCAATGGCCAGGATTTGGTCGCCCTCCTCCAGTCTTCCATCTCTGAAACACACAAGAGAAAACGGGTTATTATCTCTGGAATACACGACAGAAAATGGGAATTCACCTCTAGAATACACAACAGAAAATGGGAAGTAATCTCTAGAATACACAACAGAAAATGGAAGGTCCTATAAAAACACAGCGTGAGACTGGGATAAACACATTCCCCAGTTACCCGTAAAATGATACAGTAAACATTAAGTTAAACATCTACAGTACACTTCCATTACCATGTGTTTACCTTAACACACTTACCCCTGGTCTTACCTACACATCTTATTGACTAAACATGGCCGTTAACTTCCCAAAATAAACAACTTGAATATATTTATCCAAAACCTTCCCTAAACACTTACTCATGGAGAGGGAGGCGGTCATAATACGGCCATAGGTAACACACACACATACATACATACATACATACATACACACACACACACACACACACACACACAATACAAGTAACTTTCAAAACTATTTCAGACAAAGCTAATTATAAACGCAATGGTAAAAATCACACACAACTTTTACTGAGGAAACTCGCGGCGAACACTCTGTAATCTGGAGCTACAGGGGCTTATCTTAACCCCTTGAGTACGATCGCTGGAGTGCGATGGCTAGAGTTCTTGAGTGCGGTGGATTGAGTTATTGAATACAGTGGCTTAAGCCCCCCTTTGAGTACGATGACTTAACCCCCTTTGAGTACGATGACTTAACCCCCTTTGAGTACGATGGCTTGAGTTCTTGAGTACAGTGGTTTAATCCCCTAGACGAGTACGGTGATGTGCCACTCTGAGTACTGTCTCTAGACTCCTTGAGTGTACTGGTTTAAACTAGACGAGAAGAATTATTTGCATCTTGAGTACAGTGGATTAAACCACTTGAATACGATGGGTTAACCTCTTGTACTATGGCTTAACACCTCTGATTTAGCCCCCTTGAGTACGATGATTTAACATCTTACGTACAAAAACTTTACCAGCTTCACAAAGACGATTTAATTACTCAGGGTGTTAAATCATCATACTTAAGGTGTTCATTCAGCATAGTCAATGTGTTAAGTCATCATACTCAGAGGTTAAGCATCGTACTCGGTGTTACGTCATCGTACTCGGTGTTACGTCATTCTACTCAAGAGATTAAATCATCCTACTCAAGTTATTAAGTCCTATAAACCTTCTTCTCCTAAGTCTTACAGGAATTCTAAATAATTTCCCCCCTGAATCCTCCTACGTTAGCTCCGGCATCCTCCACCCACGGTAAATCTTAAAAGTCCTTCCTCTCCCATCCCCTTCCCTTCCCTCCTCTCCCATTCTCTTCACTCCCCTCTCTTTCCCTCCTCTCCTCTGCCCTTGCCCCTTCCCTACCCTCCCTCCTCTCCACTGCCTCTCCCCTTTCCTCCCCTCCCCAAGACAGTAGTAAACAGAATATTGTGTGTGTGTGTGTGTGTGTGTGTGTGTGTGTGTGTGTGTGTGGTGTTACAGTGGTGGGGTCACAACTCTCCACGGACAGCTTAGTACTAACTGAGACATACGAAATGGGACGCCCTGACTACACACGACTTGGTAATACACACACACACAGACACGCACACAGTCCAGATCTCTTCTTTAAGTAGGTTGACTAAAATACTACTGTGTGTGTGTGTGTGTGTGTGTGTGTGTGTGTGTGTGTGTGTGTGTGTGTGTGTGTGTGTGTGTGTGCAGTAGGAGTTGAAGTAACTTAAGAAGTCACAAACGAAAGTCTCGGCAGCTACATGATGGAGGATTCAAACTTGCTGGAACGAGACTCTTGAACGGCTGGAACAAGACTATTGAACGGCTGGAACAAGACTCTTGAACTGCTGGAACAAGACTATTGAACTGCTGGAACGAGACTCAACAGCTATAACGCGCCTTCGACTCAATAGAACCCGACTCCAAATTGCTGGAACGAGACAAAACTGCTGAAACGAGAATAAACAACTGGAACGAGTCAAAACTGCTGGAACGAGTCTCTAACCTGCTGGAAGAAGACACAGAACAGCTTAGCTACCTCTGGAGGACCTTCCCACACCTCATTACACTTTGGTCAAGCCTTCAGCAAGAGTGTAGACAAACTTGTATTCGTGATTGTACACCTAGGGGACAATTCCTCGAGGCTACACTATATAGGTCATATACTCTTTGACTTCCTGACCTCGCTTGACCTCGTAACAGTAGCTCGAGTGTTATGATGGTGTAATAAAGACCCAGAGATCACCTAAAGAGGTCCTCATGGCGGGGATTTACAAGGGGGAGAAAATCTCTCTCTCTCTCTCTCTCTCTCTCTCTCTCTCTCTCTCTCTCTCTCTCTCTCTCTCTCTCTCTCTCTCAGCTTAGCCAGCCTCAAGTTTTACCACCCTGAAATTATATGGGGATGAGGCTAATCTTCAGGTGATCCAAAGAGGTTCAACTTGCGATAGGGTCTCGTTCATAGTCTCGTTCATGTTCTCGTTCATGGTCTCGTTCATGGCCTCGTCCATAGTTTATGGTCTCGTTCAAAGTCTCGTTCATAGTCACGTTCATAGTCTCGTTCAAAGTCTCGTTCATAGTCACGTTCATGGTCTCGTTCATGGTCACGTTCATGGTCTCGTTCATGGTCTCGTTCATGGTCTCGTTCGCCATGGCCTCGTTCGTCCATGGCCTCGTTCGTCCATGGCCTCGTTCGTCCATGGCCTCGTTCGTTCATGGCCTCGTTCGTCCATGGTCTCGTTCGTAAAAGTACCTCACGTGTGTTATGAAAATATTTGGAAAATATGTCCAAACTTTTTGGAAAATGTTCGATTTTTTTTTCTCAAATATTTCCAAACAATTAAACATATTTTGACACCTGTGACCTCATTTAAAGCGACAATCTAATTACTGTAACTGGTAATCCTCACTTGACCTTGACCTTTACTCACTCACGCGACTGAACGATGTCAATACCCTCTAGTCATTATTTAGCTACAGTTTATGTAAAGGAGGAAATTACAGTGACAAAATACAGCTAAGTATTGTAATGTGACCCACTGTAACCATTGCTACAATAACTGGGCCATCCTATCCTCTCCCCTTCCCTCCCTCTCTCTCTCCCCTCCTTCCCTTGAAGACATGTCCCCTTTAAGGTCTGGTTGGCCCCGGGTTATTTGGGAGCAGAGCTAGTCTAGTGTGATGCTCCTGCGTACACACACACACACACACACACACACACACACACACACACACTGTCTATATCAAGAAGCACACGTTAGCTACACCATTAAAAATTCTCACTATTATCTCTCATCCTACACAATACATTCTCTTTATCTCTCAACACCATAACTGTATCTCTCATCCCATATACATCCTAAATCCTTCACACTACCTCATCCTGCACAATGTTTGACGCCTTTTTTCCTCTCAACACCATCACTAGCTCCCATCCTTCACCCTCTCATCGACCACTGTATCCTCTCAGTTCCGACCATCCTCTTGTAATCCTTTCATCCTTTTATACATATCCTATTACATATTACCCGCAATAACTGTCCTGTGTCGGATTATAAATATAAATTGTGTGTTAAAATGGTGAGTGAGAGAGAGAGAATGTGTGTGTGTGTGTGTGTGTGTGTGTGTGTGTGTGTGTGTGTGTGTGTGTGTGTGTGTGTGTTGCTTTACAATTATAATCACCAAAAATCATGATACTTATGACCTTTATATACATTTTCGTTAGAGTTTGAAGGTAAAAAAAAAATATTCCCTTCCCAGTAGGATATCTTTTACGCCAGCTGGTGCTAAGTGTATCAGGCTCCTATCAGCATCCAGGCGGCCAGTGTAACAGAGAGGATGTGCCCGACCACCGCTGACCAGCCACAAGCAAACTCACTTCACAGTCTATCTTGGATTAACTTTGTCAACACAACAATGTCTGCCTTCAAAATACATTATTAAACAGTATTAGAATATTGCTCTTAACCCCTTGAGTACGATGACTTAGTCCCTTGAGTACGATGACTTAGTTCCTTGAGTACGATGACTTAGTTCCTTGAGTACAATGACTGACAGATAGACAGATTTCCTAAAATTTGTTTTGATTTGGAAATAATTCTCCGAGTACCATTTACCACTACTCATCAACAAAGGTAACTAACAAAACAGTACACCTGAGCAGCTAAATTAATTAATCCCTGACGGCTGAAGTTACCTGCCCTGACAGTATCGGTGTATTACATGTAAATTCATCGGCGGTCTTGACACATCAATATATACATTACATAATCATTAAGTCATTAGCATTGTATTAGATAAACAGTCGGGGGGGGGAGGGGGTAAGGTATGGATTGATCAGTATTGCCAGGATGTCTAACCCGACCCAACCACAGAGGTGAGTGTGGGAAGGTGAGTGTGGGAAGGTGAGCATGGGAAGATGAGTGTGTGACAGTGAGTGTGTGACGGTGAGAGTGGGAAGGAAAAAGCCCCCCAAAAAAAAACTTGATACATTTCCTCAAGATTGATCAAGCTGACTTCACTGGCTGCAAGACCTAATAGTTTGGTTGATCAAGTAGGCAGCAGTTAGTAAAGGACTGGAAGGTATACTATAAATAACAGGCACTGGTAAGTACCTGTACCATTGACGACAGGGGTATGAGTGCCACCCATTGTGCCACCCCCTACAACGTCTTTAAGAGGGCTGCCACCTTCACAACACCACCTCAGTCGCTTACTCATACACGTCCCAGAATTGATTTCGTGCCACAAAGCTAGAATTTCAGTTCAGAGACCTCAAAGCTACAGTCTCAGTTCAGTGCCACAAAGCTGCAGTTTCAGTTCAGTACCATAAAGCTGCAGTTTAAGTTTAGTGCCACAAAGCTACAGTCTCAGTACAGTGACCACAAAGCTACAATCTCAGTTCAGTGCCACAAAGCTGCAGTTTAAGTTAGTGCCATAAAGCTACAGTTTCAACTTGGTGCCACAAAGCTGCAGTTTAAGTTAGTGCCATAAAGCTACAGTTTCAAC